GCCCTCGGCCGCCCCCCTTGGACGACCCCGTAATTTTTCTTGCCCGGTGCAAGAAAAGACAGGGTGGCAGATTTTCGTCGGAAATGCAAAGTGAAATTTGGACTGGACGGGATAACCTCATCTCAAGCCAGATGGAATGTTGCACATGGAGTGACAAGGGGCAGGTAATATTCACAAACCGTTTCGAACATACGGGCGACAGAAGGTGATGCAGAACAAGGCACATGCAATGGATGAGTGACGTATGTAATTATTGGGCGCTGTTGTTTTCGCATACGCCCAGCATGGCGTACAAATTCAACATTTTTTGCTATGCTGCGAAGAAAACACACCTATACGGGTATTCTTTTTGACACGACAAATTGGAAATAAAATAGGCCTATTTTAAGAGCCGAAGGCTTGCTATTGAATGTCATGATTCAACAAGACACGAGGTCCCCCACAAATGAAAACCGGGTCGACTACTTGCGGACTATCGGAGTGATATATCCATAGGTCTACGGGAGCGCCGTTATCGTACACTCAAATCTACATTCAAAGTACATGGTAAGTGTGTTGGCTCCCTCTCTACTTTCTTTTAATTACTACACTGTATTTGTTCTCTCGTTAGCCGGGTATTATCCCCAAAACACGGCATATATGGCCACCAAAAGGTCACACACTTGCGAAGATGGGACGTTCAGGGTGCAATGCGGCAACAGAGTGATGAAAAACAAAGTTGTTGAACCTGGAAAATTCTGGAGTACGATACATGTACCAACTGGTTAAAAAGAGTTCATAGCATCGTCCAGTACGCTTGGTTTTCCGCTACATCGCTGTATCGACGCGTGAAAACGGTCGATTTATTTCCTCCATCTGTGTCTGACAACTGTTCAATCCACAAATGATAGTCCACGCATTAACTTCATGGAGTGGATGAAGGCATTTGAAAGCCCCTTCAAGTGACGATCATGAACGGGTAGCCTCCAAGGTTTCCGGCTTGTGGCCGTTTGAACTGGCCGAGACTCGGTCATCGGCAAACTATAGAGCTCCGAGCAAGCGAGTAATGGCCATCGTTTGGCTAACAACTGTTGAGATAGTTGCAGGAACTAACATAAACTGATGTGCATGGCTGATCTTCTTGACAACGGCGGCAGTGGACAGATTCTAGTCACTGAATGTTTGGGTATTTGCAACTAGGAGAAGCCATAGCGTATCTAGTTGACAGTAGATGACACTGTTCATCATCTTGATTGGGTTTCTTTTGCCCCCCATTCCCTGCACTGTCACCCTCCTGTGTTGCGGACACGAGCCGTAGACTGCGCTGATCGACCTCGTCAGACCGTTATGTGCCGAGTAGATGCAACAGGTAGAACAAAGATAATAAATTAAATAAGACGAGATGACTAGGACGTCCCCCTCCTATTTTTATGCACACTGCCGACGGATGTGGGTGAAGTCTCAGTTCGCATGGCCGTCCCGTCTCGTGCTGGGTGCCTTCTCCTGCGAGAACGAGTGCGACGTGCTCGATATTCGGGCTGGCATCCCAAGTCGGCCCTTTTATGACTGTGATTGGTGACCTGAAAGTTAGAAATGGAGGAGGGTACCGCTGTACACACTTTGATTGCCTTGGTCCTGATGTCTGGGTACAGGTACTGTAGACGTTGTAATTTAATTGTTAGAGCTTCTACTTATGTATTGCATCCTACATTTTTCGTACACATTGTATGACGGCTTCAAACTGTATAGAAAATAACGGCGACCTGGTTCCTCGCAATCATATAAAGTTGTCATCTGGGTCGACCGTCATCGGTACGGGGACTGCACCCCAGCGAGGCGCCGATTCCATAGTCTGCTTCAGATGCACCCACCACAGCTGCTGCTCGGAGCACAAGAACATCTCGCCGTCGTGAGAGAGGCAAAAACTCGACACGCCGGCGGGCACCTCGATGACACCCAGCAGCACGCCGCCCGCGTTCCATACCTCCACGCCGTCGGCACATCCGGCATACACGTTGCCTGCCGCGTCACACCGGATGCCTAGCGGTGTGCCTCGAAGAGCATAAGCAAAAACGCGCTTATTCGTCAAAAAGTCCGAGCCGCCCCGCCGCAGCACATCGAATGCATAGATGGTGGCGGCCCGCCGCGTATCGGCGCCGCTGTTGCTGCCGAGTATGCTACCGCCGCCGTTGTTGTACAGCGCATCGGCGTCCGTGACGTAGACGGTGGCGGCATCGGGGCCAAAGCAGATGCCGGCCGGTCGGTTGAGCCCGTCGGCAACGACACGCAGGTCACCTGTATCTGGATGGAAGCGGTAGACGTGGCACGGCATCTGTGGACGTTTGCGGAAGTCCTGTTCGAAGCCGATGCATGGATCCGTAAACCAAAGCGAGCCGTCGTCTGGGTGCTGCACAACGTCATACACGGAGTTGAAGTCGCGGCCATAGTAGTTGGACAGGAGGTTGATGGGAGGCCGGCCGGTGGGCATATAAAAAAGGCCGCTGGTGCCCGGGCCCGGATTGCCCTGTGCACAGTACAGGACACCACTGCTACCCCGACCGCCAACGCCACTACGAGGCCGTCCAATACCTGGTTTCGTCTGATACGGAATGGCGCCCGCGGGCATGGCCATAGGGGGCCTCAATTTAGTCCATTCAGCCGCCGTGACGTCACCGGCGCTGTTGCGACGCAAGCTCACGCGAGAAATGAGAATTGCGGGCAACTGGGAACTGCTTGACGTCTGGAGCAGGTTGGATGTGGTGTAGATGACCTCGTCGTCGATCGGGACACTTCCGGTCCCGTTGCCAGCACTGTTGCCACGACTTGATGCTGACGGTTCTCGCACAAGGACGCATCCCGTGTGGAAGAAGGCGTTGCGGGAGGTCTCGGCGGACGACAAGAGCAGGGCGTGCCGTGCATCCTTGCCGACAACTGTGGCAAAGTCGGGGTGATATTTTTTGAACGATACACCGTCAAACGCCGGCCTCGGTTGTCCTTCTCCCAGTCTGTCGCGTGCAAAATCAGAGCGTCAGCATATGATGAAAAGACTGATCGTGTCGTCCTGTGGATTTAGACTCTTTGCGTTGATTAGAAAATGAGCAGCCCTCGGTCTTACAATGGAGATTCCTGTCGGCCGATAGACAGTCGATTGACAGCCTGTTATATTCGTGAGTTTGAGCCCCCGCCATGTTGAAGGGATGAGTGTTTGCAGTGTACCTGCATCGGCGTTCGGTTCACCTTGATGTCGTTGTTTATTGTTGCCATCGTTTTGATGTTTATGTTCCGCCGATAAATCGGCAGGGGTAGAGGAAGGGCAGACAGTGCAATAAATGAAAAGTAGAGCAAAACAACTGAGCTGTAAGTGAAGATGGGATACAAAGCTCGGCTTGCGGCTGTTATATACCTACCACACGGAGCGAAGCGAAGGCAAACAGGATAGGTCAACAGGATAGGTCAACAGGCTGATGTGTCTTATGAGAAGAGACGAAAACAAAGGAAAGAAAACACAGCAAAGGCAGAGTGAAGAAAAGTTCGTCTCAGAGCATGCGCTGTATCGTCGGAGCAGCAAAGTGCCGGGATCGCAAGACTGACAGGGACGAGGAGGGACAAGGACAGTAGAGGGGAGTGAGGGGAGGGAGAAGGACGAAGCTTTCGGGATTTTCAAATCTGTTGTTGGATTTTGTTTATGGTTCTGCTGTTTCTGTTTGTCGTCGGCGAAGACGGTTGAACAAGGTTAAATGCGACGGGATGCAGGGACAGGTTGCGAAGCGAGGATGATGTGAGGATTCGCGCATGATAGCCATGATGCGGCAGCCGATACGAAAGAGGTGGGTTGCGCTTGCCTAATTCGCGTGCGTAACGCCGGACAGAGGCATGTGTCTGGTAGCGCTTGCCATTAGCGCCCAGACCCCGTTTCTGAGCACGCCGACGCCGAAACTACACAGCATCGGAAGGAGCCGCCGCCGCACTTGCCGTCAACTACGGCACCGCGTCCGATTGCCTCAATTGTCGTGTACAATGTACTAACTGACGTGTCAGTCTCTTTACAATTGACACGTCTTCAACATAATGTCGAGGATGCCGCCAGGCGACACTTGTGTCGCCGTTGTCGACGTAGTGCCTCTGTGTTCCTGCGCTGCTCATTTGTGAGAGCTCATTGAGCCTCAAGAGGCTCTCTCGAAGCTCCATTGGCAATCGACCAAGCTGGAGAGAATGGCCTTCATTGTCACTCGCGTCGCTCTGCTGCTTTCGACAATTTCGTCCAATTCTTTTGGGCAATTTATCTTTTCAAACCGACAAAATGTACACATGCCGGCCGGTGTGGTGTCCCGGACCGGTAAAAATTCTCCAACAACGCAATGCAGTGAGTGCTGTTTTGATTTCTCTCCCCACCGTCGTTTTCCACCCCCTGTCAGCCATGCTCATATCGTCGCCATGCTCGCATCCCTTAGTGCGCCGCCTGGTTCTTCTTCTCGTCAGCGTCGGCAGACTCGAGGAACTTCCTGTGTATGGGGGTATGTGCGTTAGTAAATAGCCTGTCAAGGGGCCAACAATGCGTCAACATGCATCGCCGTTGTCGTGTACTGACTTGATAAAGTCCGCCTCATCCGACGAGGAGGCATTGATGGGGGGTGTCGACGTGGTCTTCTGGCCACTGCCGCGGGTGGCAGCATAGATGCCGCCGAACAGGGTGGTCAGGGTGGCAATGGCCAGCTAGAGATGGGATGTTAGTCTGTGAGTCAATCGCTAGAAGTCGACAGAGCGCAAGCCATCGGGCGCAATGGGGACAGCGGAGCTGCGAGTCGAGTGCCCCATCATGTTGCCGCAACAGCAGAGGGTCGGCGTCAACATCGGGCGGCCGTGCTCGCGCCTCGTCTTCCGCTGCCCGTTTTCCGTTTTCCAGAGTCTCGTGCCGTCGGTAGAAAAAGGAGTTGCAGTTCAGGGCCAACTAACGTAGTGGGAGCCGATCTGGCGGCCGGCAATGGTGTACGACTGAACCATATTTGCGGTGGGGGAGTGTGATGCGCGGTGGTGGTGTTGGAGGTGGTGGTGGTAGTGTTGAGAGCGACGTACAGGAGTATCTCGGGAGAAAAGATCAAGAGGAGACGCAGAAAAAAGACGCTTGTGTTTTTGCCGTGCCTGGGCCTAGCAGCAAAGCTCCGAGAAAACGCGGCTGGCCTGGAAAGAATCGGATTAAAGGGCATGCACTAAAGCGAAAAGTCACGTGTGATGAACCAGTTGGCCCAGCGTCCCGATGGCTATCTTACAGTGCTAGCGCTGAGAGTGGCCCAAGCACCAGCTACGGATTAGCGGGCGCTGAGTATACGTCAGTGACGCCAATTAGGAGGGGAATCGCGGAGCACAACCCAGTACCAGCAAAAGTGTCCTCGCAAAGAGACGACGACGATTCACGAACAAGAACCTACGTGATAGCCCTGACTTTATCCTCTTCCTCTACCGTTGCATGACGACAGCCTCGATCGAGTCTTTTGCCGTACTTTGGACGGTTCGTACACTATCTCCCATCGAGACCGACATAGGTAGTGCCGGTCCACCCACACTGGTAAAACAGACCTTCTCTTTTTCGACACACTCCCCATTTCTTGTATAACCACAATGTTTTGGGGCAAGGGACCCGACAAACCGTCGGAGACGGCCGGTAAGGTGGCCGGAAGCTCGACGACGGCGGACACCGACAATATACCGGCCCCCAAGAGCCTCCCGCGCAAGCTGCAAAAGATGGTCGACGAAGAGGACAAGGAAGACAATTTTTACGACGAGCTGGTCTCGGGATAGTACGTCTGTGACGGTCTCCTTGTCCCTTATTTCCTGATACTGACCTCCACAGCGTGCCCGAGTCGACCGACTCCAAAGTGCGGTACGCCGCCTACGCCGCGCGGCTGCGCACCATTCTGCTCTCGGCCCACCGCTACGTCGCCTACACCTCCGACATTGGCGAGTCGTTCCGCCCCGTCGCCCACCCGCTGCTCGTGCGCGGCGCCTACGGCATCTCGTGGGCCTACATCCTGGGCGACGTCAGCTACGAGGGCTACAAGGCGTACCTGCACAACCAGCGCGTGCTGAACCCGACCCGTGAGTTTTCAGAGCGGCAGAAGCGCCTTGTCGGCGTTGACGAGGTGTCGGACCCGTTTGTGCGGAGTACGGTCAAGGCAGGCGCGCAAAGCTCGACTGCCACACCACCGCCCGCGCTCCAGCCGGGCGTCGTCACGCCTCTCGAGGACTACCGCGTCGTCATGCTCCAGCGCACCATCTTCCAGAGCATTGCCAGCATGGGCCTTCCCGCCTTCACCATCCACAGCGTCGTGCGGTACTCGGGACGCGCGCTCAAGGACATGAAGAACAAGACGATCCGCACGTGGGCACCGATTGGTCTGGGCCTGGCCGTCGTGCCGTTCCTGCCGACGCTCTTCGACAAGCCGGTGGAGAACGCGGTCGAGTTTGTTTTCCACAAGGCATTCGCCCACTTTGGCGGCCAGCAGGCCGTAGGCGAGTCGCCCGTGATCGGCCGCGAGAAACAGCTGAACAAGAAGCTCAAGGAGAAGGAGCTGTAGGGCGGGTTAGAAGTCAATTGTTTGATTTTGTTCGGTTTAGCTTGGCTGGGTGGATCAGACCGGTCATGGTTTTGGACAGCGTTCTTGGGAGTCTTCACTCATTTTATTTTGCACGCTTTGTATATGATTTGCAGATGTGCGCACGATTTCACAGTCATATAGGAATGTACAAATCTCAGTTTCAAATGATGCTATGTAGATATGTTAATCCCGCTAATAATAAGCATAACATAATTAAAAATAAAAGCCCAACGCCAGTGCCCTAGGACATGCCACGCTCGCCAGAATCACAATTGCCGCCCTCGCGTTCTCACGAAACGCACAAACTCCCTTTAGAGGTTGATCAGCTCAGGGGGTGGCCCAACGCCGCGCAATAGGACAATCGTGTTGCCGTTGGCCAGCGCCTTGCCCGCCTGCTCGTTGAACTCGAGCAGCCGGCCGCCCTCCACATGGAAGATGCGCAGCTTGTCCTCTTCCTTGGAGCTTTTGTTGTTGATGTTGTCGATCTGCAGGTTGCGAGCCGCAGCATCCAGCACGCGACCCACAACCCAGTCTTTCTGGTAGTAGAACTTGCCCTTGGGCAGCTTGGCCTGCGTCGACGCCGCCTCTGCCTCAACGTGCAGATACAGCCGCTTCTCGGCCGGGATCTTAGCGTCGCCCTTGGCCGTCTTCTTGAGGTCGGTCAGCGCCGCCATGCGCGCCGCGGCCGACTGTTGTGCCGCTGGCCGCGGTATCGCCTTGTTGGCCTGCTCCTTTTTGGCGGCGCCCCACGCCCGCAGCTTGTCGAGCGCCGACTTGGCTTTGGCTGCCGAGTCCGCCATGGTGGAGCCGCCCGCCGACGGTCGCGCGCCAATCGGCTTCAGGTTGGCACAGTTGTGGTCCTCGCGCAGTCGGTGTTTCAAGCAGTAATCACGGTTGCAGTTGCTGCAGTGTACGCCGGGCACGAGGCTTGTGCCTACGACCGTCTTGCAGGCCGGGCTCGCGCACGGTTTTTGGGACACAAGGTCGCGCATCGTGCGGTCGGCACCCGCCGAGGGCCGGGCCAGCTGCGCCTTTCGCCGGCGCTCGGCCCAGGCACCCTCATGTGCGCAGTGGTGGGCGCTCTCGGTACGGTGGTCGAGGCAGAAGGTTTTGCGGCACGACTGGCAAAAGAAGGGCAGAAAGTCGAGCTGCCGACAGTACTCGTACTGGCAATGCTTGCCCGTAAGGGACACATCGGTCGCGCGGCTGTCGACGTCGGTCATGTTGACGTAGGAGGTCTCGGAACTGGAGGGCGCAGAAGGCGTTGAGACGGTGGAAGAAGACGATGCGCCTTGGTTTGGTCGTTGTGAGCCGGACATGGTGACGGGAATGTGGCGGCGAGAAGGCGACAGCGCGCTCTTCCCTTATATTGGCGGAGTATAGGAGAGGCTAAGGAGGTGTACGAAGACGACTCGTCTGCGCGGTGGCTGTCTGTTCAGGCACATGCCGGATTCGTCATCTGGGTCGTAAAGATGCGGTCGGGTGAAAGTCAGGGACCTGCGCATGAGGGCCACGAGGCTGAAGTGGCGGGACACTAAACGCCAAGACTCAGGGCATGCGTTTCCCCTCCGGGAGGGACAAGGGGCGCCACGCACTCTAATTACAAAGGACGTTCGGATGGTTCTGGAAGCAGCCTGAGCATGTCTGTCATTAGCGGTTCTTCCACCGTGGCGGACCCCAACATGTCACTGGAAACTAGCGCCCATTGTTGCCGATTGACGCTAAATTACAGTGGATTTTTGAATGCCAGGCACACGTGATTTGGCGCACTTGTCGCGGTTTGAGAATGGTAGGGCAACAGCGGTCACTTTGCCAATTCGCGCCTTCCGCGCCTTTCGCAGTTTGCCACGTTTTCCTGACATAATCCTAAAGAGGGTTTCCGACGACACCTTTGCTCGCCTGTGCACTGATCGCAATGCATCGCATGCAACTGCGTCCAGTTGACATTGACCATGTCGTCCTCGCGCGCTCCTCGAAAGCGGCCGGGCGGCGGTGATCACCCGTCACCTGTGCCGCCGAAGAAGACGAAAGCAGCGGTAGTGAAAAAAGAAAAGCCAGAGGAGGATAGCTTGGCATTGAAAGCCAACCGAAGTACCAGGAGGAAGACAGCGACTCCTACTGCCGCCGCGAAGCGACCGAGTCCATCGCCGTCTGCTTCAAAAGCAGTCCCTCGAAAAGCGACCCTCTTTGACGACCTCGATGGTGTTGGATCGTCCCCTGCCTCGGCCAATGGCGTCTCGGATCTGCAGTACCTGAAGAGCCTTGAGAACGATGGCGAAGCAAGCGAAGACAGCGACAGCAGCTCTGAGCTGTCCGCTATGTCTGATGCCGATTTTGAAGATGTGCCGTTGGCGCCTGAGGAGAGCAAGAAGGAGGACGTCAAGTCAGATGACGACGACGACAATGATGACGAGGATGAGGACATGGAGTTTGAAGACGTCACTGCGCCCGAGCCAGCACCCTTCTCGTTCCTATCTATGGCCGTCGACCACGATGAGACTGGTAACGACGGCGGCGCAGCCTCGGGCGACCTCGAGCTGACCCTCATCGAAGACACCCGTGTCTCGGTAACCGGCCTGGGCGACGCCAAAAAGGGCCCGACAAAGATCGAGCGCCTCGTGCGCAGCGCCACCCACTGTGTTCATGTCCAGTCGTTGCTCTGGCACAACGCTAAACGCAACGCCTGGCTGTGCGACCCCGAGGTGCAGGGGCTGCTGTTGTCCCATATCCCGCCGCGTCTGTGGGACGAGGTCGATCGATGGCGGCTCAAGTCGGGGCTGGTCGTGCCGGACAGTGACAGCAAGACCAAGGGCAAGGGCAATACGGTCGGCAAAGGCAAAGGGAACAGCGGAAAGGGCGCACGCGCGGCTTCTCGAGAGTGGAGCGGCGCAGCGGCGCGGCTGGAACCCGGCGCGGTTGATATGAGCCATGGTGATCCGCTCTTCCGCCTGCTCCGTGCCCTATCATACTGGTGGCGCCAGAAGTTCCGCATCACTGCACCTGGCCTGCGCAAAAAAGGCTACTTGACTCTGGAACGTCTCGATGACTTCCTCAAAGCTGCCAAAGACACTGCGGGCAACAATTCTCTCCGATTCGGTGAGCGAATACGAAATCGTGCCGCCTTTCGAAACCATGCTGCCAGTCTAGAGGGAAGTCGTGATGTTGGCGCACAACTCTTCACAGCGCTACTGCGGGCGCTGGGACTGGAAGCGCGGCTGGTGGCCAACCTGCAGCCTCTTGGGTTTGGCTGGACCAAGCTCGAAGAAGCTGATGCGGATGAAGAAGGAGACAAGGTCGATGGGAACTCGGAGGCGCCAGTAGCCACGACGTCATCAGCATCAACACCGGCTACGCCGACACCAAAGAAGCCGAGACCGAAAGCTCTGCCGAGACGGCCAAAAACAAAAGTAAACCCCAAAGAGGATGGTCCCATCGTGATTGACGACGACTCTGATCTCGAGATGGCCGAGGTGAACAGCGACAACGAGTCAGTCGTGTTTGTTCCCGACGCGAAGACGACGCCTACCAAGCCCGCTGCTCCTAAGCCTGCATTTGACAAGGACCTGCATTTTCCCATCTACTGGACGGAGGTGCTGAGCCCCGTGACGCAGAAATACATACCTGTTGACGCTCTCGTCAAGCATATTGTCGCCACAAGCCGTGAGCTGATTGAATCCCTCGAACCCCGCGGTGGCAAGGCCGACAAGGCGCGGCAGGTCATGGGCTACGTCGTCGGCTACTCGGCGGACGGCACCGCCAAAGACGTCACTGTCCGCTACCTACGGCGGCAGATGCTGCCAGGCCGCACCCGCGGCGTGCGCTTCCCCGTGGAGAAGATACCTGTCTACAACAAGCACGGCAAGATCCGGCGCTAC